TGTGTATGTGATATGCTAAAACTGGCAAATGGGATTATGGAGGTTGTGGTTGGTAAACCCCAAGTTCTGCAGAGACCCAGGAGAGCAAGTGGCTGTGATTACAGTCTAAAAGCCATCAGGCTGGAAGGCCAGAAGAAGCCAGTGTTTCAGCTAGAGACTAAAGGCTGGGAGAATACTGAATACCAAGGTCCTACCTCCAAGGCAGAAGGAATTTTTCTGTTAACTCAGCTTCTTGCTCTAGTTAGGCCTTCAGCTGATTGGCGAGGCCCCACCACACTGGGGAGTGTTGTCTGCTCCCTACTCAGATGTTAAGATCACCCAGAAACGCCTCAGGGACAGGTCCAGAGGGATGTTTTACCAACTATTTCTGCACCCCTGACCCAGTTAAGTTGTCAGATAAAATTGACCACTTACCCAGATTAATTGGGAAATATGTTGACAAACAAGATGGTTAGTAATAATAGACACAGTCAGGTCCAGTGATGGAGGGAATGAGTGCTTTCCAAGTTCCTTTAACAAAATAAAGATTAGATGTTGATTCAGTTTAAATATATTTTGAGAGTACTACTATAAAACAGATGTACAGTGTATTCTAAGAGAATAAACAGAGAATAATAAATAAAAATTTACTAGAATATAGAGAAAACTAGGAAAATGATTAGCAGAACTTGGAAGATAGAGAGCAAGATACGTCTGAAAGCATCAGTTACAACGAATATAAATGGCTTAAAGTCATATCTTTAAAAGCAGAGGTTTCTTAATAGAATTTTAGAAAATCTTGCTAAATGTTGTTTCCAAGAGTAACATTAAGACATAGTGACACAATAAATTTATACGTAAAGAAATGGAGTATCAGATACACAAGGTAGATATTATCCAAAAGAAAAACTGTGCAGCAGTGTTACCAGTTGGTAATATTTAAACTAAGAAAAAATTATATCAGAGATAGTCATGACATGTTATCAAAAGACATACTGAGATTCATGTGTGTAACAGTGGGAGTGTGCATACACCCTAAAGTATGATCTCCAAATAAATAAAGTGTTGGCAGGAATATAAAGAGAGACTGATAAATCTGGAGTAGTAGAAGATGATTATTTCGTATCTGCTTTACTAGACATACCTGAACTTTATACCTCAAAAAGCAGAATTTCAGGATTTTAAGAACAAAAATTTTTTTACAGATTTACCAGATAAAACCACAGAGGAATTCAAACAGATGCCCCATATTGATATAGCTATCACAAATTAGAAATAGCAAAAATCTGAAATTTTTAAGTAATCTATGGGCCAAAGATGATATAATTAAAACTACAAGATATTTATAAATAACAGACAATAAAACGTGTGGTATGTAGTTAAAGCAGAATTTGAGAGTATTATAGCCTTGAAAAATATATATTGGCCAGGCACGGTGGTACACACCTGTAATCCCAGCACTTAAGAAGCTGAGGCAGGAGAATCACTATGAGTTCCAGGTCAGCCTGGGCTACATAATGAGTTCAAAGCCAGCCTGAACTACATAGTGAGACCTTGTCTCATAAAAAACAGAATATATTAAAAGATTGAAAATAATTTTTTGGTGCAGTGTTTGAACCCAGGCTCGCATACATGTTGTACGTGTGCTCTACCAATGAGCTGCAGCCCAGCCCTTGAAATGAATTTTATAAAAAGCAAAGTAGATAAAAAGACATAAAATGGCCAACTCAAAGTAAAGCAGCAGGAAGTAGTGATGAAAAAAGATAAATGAAATGTAATTAGAAAAAATAGCATAGTAGAAAGGATCAGCAACACTGTTTTGGTTTTTTAAAAAATACTGTTATTAAATCAACCTCTAGCAAGACTGATAAAGAAAATTTATACTAGTCAGTGTTAGATCATCTAAAGTAAATTTATTGCAGATGCACAAGTTAAATCAAGTTAGTTGGTGTTTAAATGTTGATTGCATTGGACTTAGGAGTTTATCTTAGGAAAATTTAGGCATTATATCGTAGCCCAGGCTCTGCAGCAGCTTATGTTCAGAGATAACAGTTCTCTCCTATTGTTGGGCCTAGCTCCGAGTGACTGGCATTCTTGCTGTGTACATCCTTGGTAGAAATGAGAATCCGGCCAGTAGGAGCAGTGGCAGGAGTAAACTGTGAAAGCAACATCATCCTTCTGAGATTCCTAAACTGCAGAACGTGTGAGTGGAAGTAGATGGCACTCTCTGGTTTGATCAAGACTAACAGTCCTTTGCAAAGGCAGAGTGGAAAGCCCCACCTGTGGAGACCGGCATGCCCGTGGTCTGCCCCAGAGGCCTTGACTTTCATTAGCGCTTTCTCTCTTGCTCTGAAAAACTGGCAGGTTGCAAGAAGAGGAAAGACATCACCATAGGTTTAAAAGAAGAAGCAGACTCAATATGTAGGTTTTGCTACTTCATTTAAAACAGCTGACTTCCTTTATTTTGAATAGCATTCTGTTCAAAGTGTTCACACTATGTTTTTTACAGATTTATTGGTTATGCCCCTTAATGCTGATAAGCATCCTCTTCTAAAATTTATATTGTAAGGAAAATTATGTCATTATATTCTTCTTTTGATAGTTCCTTTTCCTCTCTTAAAATAAATGACTCATTTTTCTCTTGTCCTAGAGCATTATCCCTCTTCTTTTTTGGAGAGAGCCTTTGTTTAATGATTGTAGTGATGAATTTGCATATAATTTGGCATGAGATCGGTAATTTTCCATAGAATAGCACTTTGGGTCACATTGCTGGACCATTTATATGTTTCCTTTTCCTCACATGAGAAAGTTTTCAGTATAAAACCTTAGCCAGGACCAGGTACATATGGGGAAGGCCCTCTTTTTCCTTGAGACCCTTAAATGTCCTCATGGAAGGTGGCCAGGCTATTTTGTTGTTGTTGTTGTTGTTACCAGGGATTGAACTCAGGCCCTTGAGTTTGTGGGGCAGGTGGTGGAACCACTACACCAAATCCCAGCCCCAGTTCTGAGGCCTTTGAATTAGGTTGTGAAACTAAGCAGGCTACCAGGGACATTATTATCTCTTTAGTAATATTGCTGCCATAATCTATTTATTTTTAATATGATTAGCTCCTTTATATTCTCAATATTTGTACCACTTATCCATGATTATGTCTTACAGAAATAATGGGTCATACTTACGTTTGTATATGGAAAATGCATAAGTCTGGTTTGATTCTTAGTATTCTTTAAACTTTGTAGCTCTTTTCTTTGGAGAATTACACAGGAACCCTTGTCAGCTGAGATGATCTCATCAGGCTGCAGAGCTGATTGTAGAGACAGAGCTGGATAAGAAAGCTCAGTGGTCCTCTCTTTGGATTTCATATGCCTTCTCTATGTTCAGTATAAACACATGTTTACAAATGACTGTTAAATGTAACTGTTGCTTTACACATGCAGTTGTGTGACTATTTAAAATAATTGAACTTCTATTTGTAGACTCAATGCTGTGCTTAAGTGAATAAGGTATAATTGCCTTATTTCCTTCCCCAGAATTTACTAACATTTATTATATCTGTCAGTGTTCTTATATCTCTGAACTTGAAAAAGAACATAGTAAAAAAAGTTAGATCAGCAATCATCTTGCAACTTGAATGATGTAGATCTGAAATCTGTGTTCATTTTCTTATCTAAACTACACAATGTGCATTTGAGTCTGTGCTTTTCTGGGACCAACTCGAAGCTATTTTGCTCATACTTGGGAATGATTCCACTGGAGGACTTTGACAGAATTGATTCCTAGGTAATACCTGACTAAGCTTTAGCTTACAGACCTACATTCCTCCCATGCCTCAAGAGGAACTCTGGCCCCCTGAGCTGCTACATACCTGTAGTGAACAAAAAGAATCCAGGACTTTCTACCTTGCTTTTCAAAGATTGTCACCTGCATAACATCCTTCACTGGATGTCCCCCTTCCTGCCTTTATTCTTCTATAGCACTCTGTGGGATTTCAGCTTAATTTGAAACTGGTTAAGACATATTTTAAGTGGAAAACTTGTGTATATATCAAATACACATTACCCCCCACAAACACAATGAGACCTCCATATCTTGGGCTCTAAACACATGGGTTGAAATATAGAACGTGAAAGTCTTGTCTGCACTGAGCATGTGCAGATTGTTCTTGTCATTATTCCCTAAATAATAGTATTTATATAGCATTTACATTGTATTAATTATTATCAGTTATCTAGAGATTATTTAAAATGTATGGAAGGTTGTGCCTAGGTTATATGCGAATTCTATGCCATTTTGTATAAAAGGCTTGAGCATCTATGGAATTTAGTGTCAGGGGTGGGAGTGGGGAAGAGCTCCTGGAACCAATCTTTTATGGATGCCAGATACTAAGAGCCGACTGTACACACACACACACACACACACACACACACACACTCTGTCTCTCTTTCTCTCTCTCTCTCTCTCTTTAAATTTTGGAGTCCCTCAGCCAATGTTATCTACTTTTCTCATGTGTGAAAGGGGGATAATATTTTATTGAATTTGAAGAGAACTGTTTTAGAAAGGTTTAGTATTCAGAGATGGTTGAGAGTTATTTTTATTAACATCATCAGTGCCTTTAAATCTGACCCTACTTTAATGAAGCTGTACTGTTACATATGCTTGGTTATGAAATACCTACCTACAAAAAGTAAATACATTTCTTTTCTGGTTGTTTTGTGGGGCTTTTTTTCCCCAAGTGGGCTTTTCCAAAGCTAATTCATCTGCAAAAAGACATATGCTTTAGGTCTGGACTTGTTAATTTACCTTGGAAAAAATAGGTCATCATCAAATCTGGCAATGTAGTTTATAAGCTTGGCAACATGGTCTAATTAAAAGCTTCTCTTAGATTAAAAATGGAAAAATGATTAGTATCAGTAATATTTTTGTTTTCATGGTTTGAGTGTATGTAGGTATATGTCATTTCTCATGTTGCATTAAAAGTATGTTGACTGTCTGTTAATAGTTTATCTCTTCTCTTCCACAGCCTCCAAGTCTGTTATAAATAGTATGCTACGGGACCCTTCTCAGATTCCAGATGGAGTTCTAGCGAATCAGGTCTATCAGGTATTAATCACAGCTGTCTATTTTCAGTGGCAGTGCTGTTATCTGGCTAGCAGAGTAAAGGATTTTAAACCTCATTTAATTACTGTCATCATAAACTATCACTGAGGTCAGGGTGCACCATAAATGGCAATGCAATATTTGTGAGAAAAGCATTTCACTTTTTTAATAGCTTGCTTTTATAGTAAATAAAAAGCATGCAGTTTTTGTTTTCTGTGATTAAATGTGAACAACCTTTTGATAGCTTTCTTTTTTGGAGTGGGGGAAGAAAAGTAATTATTGCTTTTAGGGTGTTTACTGGCATGATTTCCATAGCCACCCCATCCCAGACCCCTTCTCTTGTTTGTCTGCAGTGCATTGTGAACGACTGCTGTTATGGACCACTGGTGGACTGCATCAAACAGTATCCTTCTCCATAAAATTTTAGGTGCACAATTGACGAGCTTAGACTCAGTGGAGAAGACGTGTCTAGCTTTAACCTGACATAAAGTTCTGCTTCACAAAACACGTGTCATACTCTTCTATTTTACATTCCATGAACTGGAGGGTCACTGCAGACTATTCTTTCCTACAGCTTAAAAATCAGATGGGCCACAGGAAGATGTCAGTTCAGCAGTTGCACAGTCACAAGCCTATTTCAAACTGGTTGGTTTTCAATGAGTTTAAAGGTACAGAGTCATTAGGCAGGTAACTTACTGTCTTGTGAGGTATCTAATCATTCCAGGGAACATTTTAAAAAATATAACAGAGTTCTGTTGAAAATGTGCCAAATTCGATTGAGTCTCCTAGAATAAATTTTGAGCCTGGAGTTAAAGGAGGATGTGGTTGAGATGCTGCCAGAGACCATTACAGATTAAAGGGCAGTTTTTTTGTTTTTGTTTTTGTTTTTTTGCATAAATGCCGATTACAATCTGAGCTGTCATTTAGATACCTAATAAACATTTTTAGAGAAACCATGCTAATTTTTCCTTTGGGACTGGACTTAAGGCTGTGAAAACAGATGCCCAGTCATTCTTCATTAAAACCATTGAAATTACTAAAGAGTCCGTGTTCACTCCTTAAAACAGGATGGGATGGATGGTATCCCCTTCATGAAGTAGGACATTACTAATCAGTAAATTTAGTATTGTAGTAATAGTGAAGAATTTTATAATCCCTGATAAAAATAATATTTAAATGATTATTAGTGACTTTAATGGATATACTATGTATCTTAGTCCATGATTTTTGTGTCTCAATATAAACATGGTCTTTCTGGGGTAGATTTTGTTGGCATAGCTGGCACTGTGACAGCTGTGACCCAGATTACCAGTTAGGGTTTTTATTAGAAGCTCCTATAAGTTAAACGTGTATATGAATGCCTGCACACATGTGTTTGTATGTGTTTGCTTGTATTTCTCCTTGTTTCACAAAGGCTTAGTGTAAGTAAAATTTTTGATTAAAAAATTTATTTCCTAAGTAAAATTAATATTTGAAAATAGTCTAACATAGCCCTCTCACAAGAACATTCAATACCTATGATATAGCCTTTTTTGTAGATAGTCTTCAACTGAATTCCCCTGCCTAGCCTAAAATAATAAAAAACAGTATTGTCACAAGCTTGCCTTTTTATTAAACTAAAGTAAAACTGTACTTCTGCTCTCCATGTAAAATTAATGATAATGTTAGAAATTGTAGAAGTGCCAACTTTGTGTTTCTGCAGTAATAAAGTTTAGCACATTCATATAACAACTAACACCATCTCAGAGTATCTGAGGCTGAATTACATGTTAATTTTAAAGCACATAAAATAGTTAAAAATCAATTTAAAGTTAAGGTTTTAAAAGCATAATGTCTTTTGAAGGATTGCATATTGATTTTAAATATAACTATCTAATTATATATGCATGGACTAAAGTATGAAGTCAACTGCTTTGTAAATGCCAGGAGGCTATTTTTCAGTAATAGTTGAGATGCTTACGGGAAACTAGATTGCTGCTTTGCTGGGGAAGAAAATGGCTTGTGAGGTTATTTACAAGTTTTGCCCCATGGTCACTGCCATACATCAATAATAGGTATTCTTATAGACAAAGTCTAAGTGTTTCTGCTTATGGAGCATTATAAATTCTGTTTGGAGTATTTTCCTTACATTTTTTTGTCATCACTCACTTGCATTCTTTTTGGCTGTGTTATTGCCTGTAGGATTTAATGTAGTCATGATTTCAGTTGATAAAGATAATGGTGTATGTCTATAAATTACAGTCATTGACTAGATTATAATATTTTTGCAGTTCCATTATGACTCTTGCCAGTAAAATTGGTTTTAAAGCTTTATTTTCTAGACTTTATTTTATATGTTTATGTCGAACAAAGCATAATCAAGAGGTATATCTTTCCAAAATCTCAAATTGGTGACTGCTTTTACCATGCAAAATAAGAGAGGCAGAGAAGTTTATAGAGAAGCTGGTTTTATTGTTGCATTGAAGTTGTTGCAGTTTCATATAATGTAAATATACTTGCAGCGATGTTTCCTCAACTAATCAACAGGAATTATTTTATTTCACACCAAATAAAAATGGTTGGTTTTTTTGTGTGAATGAAAATGGCGTTTATGTGGCATTCTGATAATTTGGTAACGTTTATATTGCGTACTTTCAGTACAGTATACCATTTTCTAAGAAAGCACACATTTGGTAAATAGAGTAGTGTAAAATCTTTTTACTCTATTATGAAAGTTACACATAGACATTTGGATAAATACAGTAAAGCAGGTTGGTCCTTTACTGATAAAACATCACACAAAGCACAGTGGAAAAGAGCATATATGTGGCCTTGTGCCTTCTCTTGCTTTTAGTGTCTGCTATATTTTTTCTTTTATAGCCGTACTCAGCCGCACCTTTCCCACCACAGCTCATACTCATTGAGGGAAAAAGTGAGAAACCAGCCACTTCAACTTTCTCAAGTGTGAGTCCTGGGCACAGCTCTCAGACAAAAGTCTACACAGAGAAGCAAGGAAAGGTAATGATTCAGGAAGCTTCAAGTGCTGTGGGTTTCATTTCTGTGCCATCAGTAACCTCAGTTTTATGATTCAACATTTTGGATGTAAATAATTCACAACAAGAAAAGTGAGAGCATATTTATGTACAATACAAGTAAATAATTTAGTTCTAAAATGTGGGATGCCCCTAGTAATGAGATACCATTGAGAGTTATTCATCTAATGTTCTTATCGGACTCTGAAAATGTGTGAAAATTTGCAATTTAAAAATCTGTAGGTTTTTTAAAATTTTTGTTTCCAATTAGAAATTAAGTAAAGCACAAATGTGTACACTGGAAAAGGAAGGAAAGCAGTAGTAAGAAAGAAGCAGTAATGATGACTTACCACTTATTTGGATGGAAGGCATAAATGACTACATCTCTTATAATTACGGATTTAAAATTCATTCACCAGTATGTATTAATGAAGGACGTGATGATTCTGTAGAAGAAAAATGTTTGTAAGTGGTGTGTATGTTTTATTCAAGTTGAACTCTCACAGTGCAAGATCAAAGGCGTCTCTGGTAAGCCAAGGAGTGATGCCACTAGGTTGGCATTCTCAGTGAAATGGAGGGTGAAGGCAGCGATTCCGAGAATTATTACCAAGTGCTCTGGCCGAATTAAAGTACAAGAATAGGGTAATGTTTTTCTCCAGACTTCGTGCCATCCCACCCCTTTGGAAAGCAGACTAGACTTCCAAGCCCTACTCCTGATTTTATTATTTACCAGCTATGGGACTTCAAGTCGCTCTGCCTTTCTAAATCTTACTTTCTTTTAACTGTAAAAGTGGGACTAGTAGGGCCGGGGATTTAGCGCAGTGCTTCTGCCACCTGCCTCGCAAGTGCAAGGACCTGAGTTTGATCCCCGGTACCAAAACAAACAAACAAACAAAAAATTAAATAAAGAAAAATGGGACTAGTAATAGCATCTATTCAGGTGGTTGTTGTGAAGAATAAATAAAATGACATCTCAAAATACCTAGCACAGGGCCTTCTTATGGCTATTATTGATTACTGTGTAATTTTTATGCTTTTGGAAAAGCTCTGTGGAGGTCAGAGGCAGGTTTATTCTCATTCTCAGCTTTTCCACATAGAACTGGTCTTGTGCAGGTTCTTAAGTCTCTGGTTTCTCACATACGAAATAAAGCTTGTAACGATTGCAAGGATGGAGTAACATAAGTACATCACTTAATACAGTGCCTGCCACCTAAGAAGCACTGAAACAATTTACTTGTGTGTCTGTTTATCTGCATATATGTAAAAGACTCTTGAAGAGCCTCTATACTATACTCTCTCCCAGTATTAGTCATCTCTAAAATGTCTTCGTTTTGGATAACCTACACTCTCAAGTCGGTTGGTCATTGGGCCTCTCAAGTCACAGCAGATCACTAATAGTAGACAGAAAGCGGAACAGAGGAGCTGCTAAATGCTGGCTCAGAGACAAGTATGATTTCACATATTTACAGAACTCTGTAAGACTGGAGATTCTTCTGGGGCAAACCTAGTTAGTATTCTTAGCTGTAAGGTAAGTGCTTAATTAGTGCGTACTAGATTTAATTGAGAGATTTTTAGCAGATTAATGGGTGTTTGAAAATGTCTCCCCACCTTCTTAAAAGAAGTTGAAAACACACCCATTATAAATCATTGCTTGCCAGAATACATAATCATTATAGAAAAATCACATTGCAGTATTTAAATGAGAGGATGAAAATTTTTTTGAAATGTCATTTCTCAGAGATGTGGGCCACAGGTTGTAGTAGCTACCTCAGTGCTCCATTTCTTCTCCAAGTGAGGACCTGGTATTAGCGTTTTCCTGATGTTGCAGTGCTGCCTATGTTGCCTTCCTTAACTATACTCCCCAGTGCCATTGGTCATGAGCATGAGGTCTTGCTGAGAGACTTGCTTCTGGAGAAGAACCTGTCCTTCCTAGGTGAGTATTGCTCTAAGCTTCCCTGGCTGGTAATGATATCTTCATGAGTGCTTAAGTATATATTTTTTTAAATCTTCCACCCAAAGTTATTATGTATTGAAGGAAGAGAGAATGATGATTGATGCTCTGCATGTTATTTTTTATTGATTTAGAACTGAGCAGGAACTCAGTTACCTAATCCCCTGTACATACAGCACATGCACAGGCTTACAATTAATATTTTATAGAATAAGTGGCTGAAAAAATGCTTTAATATCTGTTGCAGTATTACTTTTGGTGTCATGAGATATTAACTATAATCTGGGCCTTATGAGAGAGGGAAACAGAAGAAATATTGTCTATAAAGTGCTTTATATATTAAAAAGAATGGTTGGAAAAATTCATGTTAGATGTGTTCCTCTCATGTATGGAATAAGGAGGGTAGTTCTTTACTTGAAAGCAAAATATTAAGCTTTTATTATTTTTATGCCAAACATTAATTGTCCTCATAGGTTTAGTATGATTGTTCAAAATCCCACATGTATGCATGTGTTTGTATGCCATTGTAGAATGTTATTACAGATTGCTGTTTCAACATCTCTTAAGAATTAGAAATTAAGTCTCAAAGGATAGACATGTAATAGCTGGTTGTGGAAACTATAAACCACTCTGTTGTGAGTGTCTCTTCTCCATTTTATTTTATTTTAGCATTTCTCTCCTTATTTGTTTGTTTTTTCCATTTTAAATGTGGTAATTTATAACAAATCTATTCATGAGTTATTTTTTGGATTTATCTTGTGTAGATACTGAGTATGGAATAATTTTTAGGACAAAAAAGTAAAGAATATTGGATTACATAACTTTTGTTCCAAATTAGACAACAGAATCACCAAATAAACTCAAGACATGTTTCCATGTCACTTTAAAATGTTTAATACAGTCTTGCAATAAATCTATTCTGTATCATAATGTTTAATTTTTTAGTAATAAATTAGAAACTGAAATTGGATATACTGCAGAGTGTTGATAATTTGAAGCTGAAAGATATATTCTCTAGGGTTAAAAAATAGTAGAATAGGAAAGTGATCTCTAGTTACTAAATTTCAGTATGTAGAAGCAGCAAGTTATTCCATTTAAAAAGAACTATTGAATTGCTCAACCTATGAAAATAGGGGAATTAGGGAAGAAACTGCCTTTTGAAATCTAAAAATAAAATGATAATAAATCAGAACTGGCTGTAATGGATGTCCATGATGCACCATGCATTGTATTTCAGAAATGTGAGGTTCTGATAATATTTTTAAAATTAGCAGATCATATTCACTCAGTTAGTGGTCAGTATAGGCATGGCCAAATCCAGTTGTTTTGCTTTTGCTTTTGTTTTAAGCTACCACCTGAGTAGTCACACTTTCATAGCTTCTCTCTCTTACTCTTCTGGAACTGTCTGCCTATGACCAGTGGGGCCCTCAGCCCCATTTCTCTGATTGGCCTAACTTTTCTCTGCATTCCTACTGAGGAGTAAGAGCTTAGATGTGGCCATGTTTAGATGTAGATCCTCAGCTGCCCTGAAGTGGGTGTGTTAGACTGAACTCACCAAAGGCAGTGTGGAAGTGTGGGCAAAGAATCACTGCCACTTGATTACGAGTAGTACAGAAAAGAGTCTAAAAATTGAAATGGATGCATCCTGTATGTTCTTCTGTACTGTGGGAAGACAGGTGATTATTTTATAGATGCATGTCCAAAAAATGAGATGTGATGAATGTTTAAAACTAAATGCATTTCTCAGTTCCATTTTCAAGCTTTACCTCATCAGCATACAAGAAATTGGTAATTTATTCTAAGCATAGTAAGTGCTTTAATGCGGTACTAAGGGGAGATGTGTTTATATATAGTTAAAGCATGAAAATGCAAAGGCTTTATGAAATACTGTTGTGGAATTGTTGTTCTTTTACCTTGTAAATACCTCTCCACAATGATTAATTAGCTCTAAAGTACTGTACCAGGCAAATTTAAGTAGATCATCATGTTAAATCCACCTATGGAAAATATTAATATATTAAATAAATTATTAATCTAATTATATTATTTATTGTTTACCTGTATGCACCTTGATTTTTGTTTCAGAGACTTTGCAAATGCATTTCATTTTAATTTTTTGATAAGCAGAAGTAACATCTCTCTGTTGGTTTCTAACCTGAATTACTTTCCAAAGGAAAATATTTTTCACTGTTTATGTACTAACCCTTTTAAAGATTATGATTTCCCTAAAATTTTACCCTATTTTACATTTTCTCCACATCATATTTTATAGTTACTGTAGTATTTTAATAAGATATGAAATAAAGATTCTACATTTTTAATTTCTGCTTTGTAAAAAGCCTCAATACTTATTAGAGATATTAATTTGTTTACAAAATATATTGAGTCAAGTTAACAGTATAACTTCTCAAGTACCCTGTAATCCAATTTTTCTTTCTTTTTTTTAAATACATGCTTGCAGTACGTGCAGTTTACAATCATCTTGGGGAGTGGGTGGATATGCATAATATGTCCTGGTTCTTTTTTTAATCCTCTTCCCTCCTTCCTTCTCTGAATCCCCTTTCCCCATTTCACTCTTATTGATATTAATCTAATGTCGTGTTTATGATATACTTACATTCATTTAAATTTATAGGCTCCTAAATGAAAAAATGGAAATAAAGTTTTTGTAAATAGGGAAGGGAGGAGGGGGTGAAGGGAGGGCAAGGTATGGGGAAAAATGAGAACCAAGATCTGTCATGTAAAGGTAAAAGTTCCCAATGCTGAATGTAACAGTACTGTATACTTAAAAATAAGTACCAATAAACTCAATGAGGAAAAAATTTTAAAAATAAATTATTAGGCTCCTGTACATGGCATATCTTTATCTAATTAACTTCCCCTTCCCATCTCCTCTTGCCTGCAGTCTCCTGGACCCCTTCCTATTTATGAGTTCTATCCCCTTGTCTCCTTCTGTCCACCCTTTATTATGCTTTTTATCTGTACTTTTCCTTAGTCAAATGAGAGATACTATACAATATTTAAACTTGTGTGTCAGATTTGTTTCACTCAACATTGTATTTTCCACCTTGTCCAGATGCATGCGTTTTCCTGCAGATGTCTCAGATTTGTCCTTCTTTATAGCACAATAGTAGTATTCCTTTAAATATAAGAATAATAATTATTTTTGTTTGGTTTTATTTTTTGAGACAGGGTCTTGCTTTGCAGTTCAGGCTGGCCTTGACTTCACTGTGTAGCCCAGGCTGGCCTCGAACTGGCAGCGATCCTCCTGCTGCTGCCTCCTGAGTGCTGGGATCATGGGTGTGCACCACCACACCTAGCTCTCTTAATTATAGATACCACATTTTCTTTATCCATTCATCTGTTGGTGGGAATATAGGTTGCTTCTAGGATTTAGCTTTTATGAATTGTGCTGTTATAAACATCGGTATTCATATATGTCACTGCAGTGTGATGTTTAGGTCTTCAGGGAAGATACCTAGAAGGGGGACGGCTGTGTCATATGGAATTTCTCATTTAGCTTCTCCGTACTGATTTGCATAATGCTTGTGCTAGTTTACATTCCCACCAAGACTATCTCTTGATATCTCTTGCCAATAGAAGATAAAAACAAAGTAAATTACTCTTCTTTTTTTCTTAGCCTTACTGTTTTTTTTAGTTTCCTTGTTTCATAGCCAGTTACTAAGCAGGTGCTATGGCACAAGATTTAACCTGGCAGTATGGGAAAGAGAAAAAAAAAAGTGTCCTTTTCATTGAGAACTTGTTTGGACTCATGTGGAACTATTATCCTATCTCACAAACATATTTATACAAAAAGTATACTGCCATCAGACAGCTCAAAATGGAATAAATGATTTTAATTTTCCTGCTATGAAATAATTTTTATTTATATATTCATTTATTTCACAAGTTAATGAGCTCAGTGCTATTGTAGGCAACAGACAAAAGTCAAATGGTGTTATGGTCTAGAAAGACTACCAAAACATGGATGTAGATAATTTTCCACAATTTCTGGAGGTTCTTGTAAATCTTCTATTCATTATATTTTCTTTCAACTAATGTTTTTAGTGTGTTTTGTACATGCCAGGAACTGAAAGTGTACTAGTTAGTGTGAAGATGATCAGTTACAAGCGCCCTGTGTCCCAGAGATGCACAGCTATGCACACTCCTGTCACATTTGTTCTCTTGAGAGTGGAGTTCTCTGTCTAGTACATCTCCCTGAACAGTTGCTCAGTTGTCTTCATAATGAAAATAAATGCACCTATTGCTATTGTCACACTGCTCTTATTAAACCTTTCAAACAAAAGATATACATTATGCTAAAAATCAATAACTACACTTTACAGGTGAAAAAAATGTTGCTGCTCTATGAACTACTTTTACAGACGTGGTGGTAGAATTTTACATATTCATCTTTTCTACTTCTCCAGGACCTTCTTGCCCTGCGTACTTTTAGGATGGCTACTTGCTTTCATTACCATGGCTCTCTTACCACTGATCTGACCCATCTTTTAAGTATGTTCTATCATAAAGGCTGTTAAAAAAATTTAATTTGAATCAAACGTGATACCTTCTAGGAAATTTTAAAATATATTTCAGCAAATGTTAGTAGTTCTTTCCAAGGATAACTAATTTAGAATGAATATTGATCGATCAACATCTGAGGTCTCAGAAAATGTCAAGAACCACTGTTTACTCCTAAGCTTTCACATACAGAGAACTCTTTCTAAAATTTAAATTGATCAGTAAGGACTGCAATCATCCTTACCACCTCTGCTAAGGATTTATCCCATTTCTGATATTAACACAATAGAAAATTTGATCTGCTGATAAGGAGGTTTTGATATATATCTCACAAATGGTTCATGAGATTATGCTTTGTTAGGTTGTTTCCTCTTGCTAGTTTTGTTGCTGTTTTTTTTTCTTTCTCTCTTTCATTCTTTCTTTAATTTAGTTGCTTTCTGTTTAGCTTTTTTTTTTTT